GGGCCAGTGGGCGCGTGCCTCCTCGAACTGGCCCCTGGTCAGGGGCGGCCGGGCAGGCACAGGCACCAGGAAGGGCTGTCCCAGGCCACGGGGGTCCACGGCCGGCTCCGGGAGGAGCTCAGCCAGCGATCGTGTGCCCGCAGCTGGCCCCGCCAGGCACAGCAGCATCTCCAGTGCATGTGGGCAGCTGGGGTCCTGGCTGGGCCGCACCCTTTTGAGGTGAGGCTGTGCAGGTAGTGGGTGGACGGCTGACACCTCCTTGAGGAGGCGCGAGGTCTGGCGTTTGTCCAGGATGGGCGCGGCATACGCCAGCACCAGCTCCACATCCCCAGATTGCTGCTCGGACAGGACCGGGAGGGCTTGCCATGGCGCGGGCTCTCGCTCAGGACTCCCTGCCTTCTCGTCCACATGCGGCTCTGCGATGCCCAGGGCGGGGTCCATCCTGGCGTGGCTCCGACTGTGGGAGACAGAGACCGGAGCAGAGCATCATCCGTCAGCGTGGAGGCCTGGCTAGGCTGGAGAGCGGGTCCCAGGAGCCTGCAGGGTCTGGAGGCTCAGCGGAGAGCTCGGCCCCCGTGAACCGCAGCAGTGGTCACGCTCTCACTCAGGTCCTGCTGACTCCTGGTTTGCACGCAGTTTGAACCACCCCAGTTCCGGTGTTTCTCCCTTTTTTCCTTTGAGACGTGCTGTGAGTGGAGACGCACACTAGATTCCAGAGACTTATGACAAAAGGACGTGAACGGTCTTGGTGGGTTTTGTTTGTACAGTTAGCCCTCCGCACCCACGAAAAATCCAGATACCGACGACCAGCTGTATTTGGCCACCTGACACCCACGGATTCCGTTATCCTCAGGGGTCCTGGAACCAATCCCCCACAGATACCGATGGACGACTGTGCGGACTACATGAGGAGGCGGGGATACTTCACGTGTTTCGGGGTAAATAAATGTATCGTTAGAGTTAACGTCACCTGTTTCTTTGTACTTTTCAAAAAAGCGGTTTCTAAAAACTCGACGTCATATACGTGTCTCGCGTGACACTGCTACTGGGCAGGACTGCCTAGGGCGGTGTTAGAAACGAACCTCCTTGAGGGACCCCAGAGAAGCACCGCCCGCCCAGGCTGCACCGCCCCGGCAGCGTCTCAGGTGGGCCAGCCGCTCCCAGCACTTGCCCACGGACAGGGAAGTGCTGAAACCACTTCACCACTGGGGCTTTTACTGCTGTGATGCTCCCCGGCTCAATCCGCAACCCGCCACCCTCAGAGGGCGTGTGCGGTCCCCACCCACCATAACGTGTCCTGAGCCCACAATACAAGCGTGGCAGACACTCAGAACAGGGGGCCGCCGGCAGCTCTGAGAAGTGGCAGGCATGGAGCGGCCCTGGTACACCCAGCACGGCCGTGCCAGGCAGGACCTCAGATTCCAAATCCGCGCGCCCGGCACACACCACGCCTGGGACGCCCTGGCCCCACTGCCTGTCCCAGGCCACAAAAGCTCCCAGTGTCTCCGGGACAAGACAGACACAGTCCTGTTTGTCCCTCCGAGGGCACAACCTCTGTCTGCTTAAAAAAAAACACGCGGTAAATAAAGGAGGCTGCCATGGGGACACTGCTGGCCGGACTGCTGACTCCTAGAGAGGAAAAATAAAAACCACAGGGGTCACCATCTGACCCTGCAACGCCATTCCACTCCTAGATGTGGACCCTGAAGAACTTAAAACACACGTCCATGCAGAAACCTGCACACAAATGTTCAGAGCCACACACTTCACAGCAGTCAAAATGCAGCAACAACCCCTGCCAAAAGATGGACGGATAAACAAAATGTCTCCCCACACACAGGAGCATCGCTCAGCCGTGACCAGGAGAGCAGCCCTGACACCCTGGACGGACCCTGAGAGCACGACGCCCAGGGAGAGAAGCAGACACTGAAGGACACACAGTGTGTGAGTCCATGGATGTGAGGCATCCAGAACAGGCCAGTCCCCAGACACAGGGAGGGGGCTCCTGGTTGGCATGGGCTGGGGAGGGGGAGGGAGATGATGCTAATGGGGACGGGGCTGCTTTCTGAGATGATGGAATGTTCTGGAACGAGACAGAGGTGATGGTTGCACGACATTGTAAATATACTGAAAAAGGCTAAAATGTACGCTCTAAGTGGACAAACCGCAAGGCGTGTGACACGTATCTCAGAAAAGCTGCTGCTGCTGAGGGGAGGAGGAAGGACACCTGGTGGTCGGTAGGGCAGCAGACCCCCCAACCAGGACCAGTACCTCACGATGGTGCTGGAACCCCGGCACGTCCTCGAGCTTCCACGAATGGGTTCCCTGACTCCTCTCCACGACCCAGGAAGGAGACTGCAGGACTGTCCCCTTTCCTTAAGCCAAGGGGCTTGCCCAGGGCCACGTGGCTGGGTCAGGGAGGGGGCAGAGCTGGGACCGAACCCAGCGGCCAGGTGGCCAACAGCTCACTGACTCTGCCCCCGGGCCCCGCAGGACGGGGGTCCTGAGCCCACAGACCGGAAACAAGTGTGGCAGAGGGCAGCCCCCCTAGACAAGGAGCAGCGGCCCCTTCCTGGACAGCGCCAACGCCTCAAGACATGCTTGAACACCCCAGGGGCCTAAGCGCAGCCAGGCCAGCCTCTTCCTCTTTTTGTCCTCAGAGCCTCGTATCCACTGCCAGCTCTGGGCACCCAACTGCGCGACATCCTCACTGTGCTCTTTGCGGGCCCTGTGCACCTGTCTCTGCCCACCGCTATGGCCTAGAAGTGCCTGTGCTCCAGTGCAGGGGCCGCCTCCCCAGGACTGTTTACACTGGTGATTGTAGCCTCTGCCACACGCACCGACAGGGCCAGAAAGGGCTCCATGGGCCGTGTGCCATGCGTGGGTCCCCTGGAGGGTCTGGGGGACCAAGGAGACCCTCAAGAGCCAGTCCTCTCACTGGGTGCTCTGGGACTCCTGCAGCAGCGGGGGCTGTGGGTCTGGGGTCCCAGGAGAAGTTAGCTCAGCAGGGAGTAAGAAAAGGGTGCTTATTCAGGTAGCTGAGTCAGGCTCTACAGGTGACAACCAGAAGGAGAGGCCTTACCACAGCCCTGGGTGCGTCCCACCCCTGTCCTAACCCCGACCCCAGCTTCCCCCTCTGGGACATGGGATCCATCACTGTCCAGCACGGCTCTCTGGGGCAGAAAGCGAGAATACCCACGTGGGGCCTGGCACTGTCCCTGGGCACAGCCCCTCAGGGGCCCTGTGCCCTGACTGTGGCAGGAGGGCTCCTCAGAGGCGGTGACCCACGGCCGGGCCTAAGGCAGGACGAGCAGGGTAGGGAGCCCAAAGCAGAAGGAACAGCCGGTGCCGGAGTCTTGGAGGCGCCCACATCCAGGTTTCAAATACGGTTTCCAGGACTCGGCCCCACTGAAGGGCGAGCTCCCCCATAGAGTGGGGGTCGCCAGACAACATACAGGACGCCCCGCTGAATTCCAGCTCCAGGTGAGCAGACAATTGTCGGCATAAATGTGGCCCACGCCATCTCTGGGATGTACTTATGCCCGCTCCGAAAATACGTATGTATGCACACATACTGTTCACACGGACTTCGTACTTAGCGGGGCAACCTGCGAGTTTACTTGCGGACCCTGGCCACCCTACGGGCGCGTGACACGACAGGGCCTCGGGCATGCGGCTGCGGGAGAGACGCGAGGCCAGGCCCTGAAAACTCACTTTCCTTAAGGCTCAGGAAGGACTATCGACGTGGAGGACGTCCAGACAGACTGGCGGCCTTCCACCCAAAGCGGGCGGGAGGCCGTTACACGGACAGTCCAGGCGACAGCGCGGAAGCAGAGGGCTGGCCGCGATGACCCCACGGCGGGGCGCACCGGAAGCGACGGGGACACGGGGTCTCC